AAGTAGACTGTATCCCTGATGAAAGGCGAGGAGCATAATTTATTTAGGCAATTAAGCACATATTTGAGGTTGTTAATTTCTTCTATGGGTGGCTTGAGGCGCAAAAATGCTGTTTGCTGTAAAATAGATCAGTTCAGATGAATATACTTTGGGCAACATTCAAAACTTTTGATATGCTTAACATTTTCTGCGCTATAAAACCCTCCGAACCTAAATGTTTTAACTATATGTGTAAATACAAGGAATAGGTGGTTTTCCGCCCAAGAAGACAAGGTATCACTGTCGGGAAATAAAAACCGAAGTCATTCTACAGTATCATAACGAACAGATCTATTATGTTTTGTGCCATAAAGATAGGAGAGGAACTCCCGTCATCGCAAGTTGTTCTACTACGCCAAAATCATTCAACGTTAATGACTGGAAACTAAATGTCTCCCCAGGAACTGTACACATTCCCGTTTCCCCACCACTCACCATTAGAACCTTGTTCTGAACTAATTATCAACTTCAGTTTCACCTCTATCATTAACATGATCTTTGGTGGTAAATCGTAAAGCGACATCCTATTTTGGGCTATATCTTAACCCATCGCCACTCAGACAGGGTCGGGAGGACACCTACCCCTTCTGCCATTTTCCCAGGTGCCAAAGCCTCACAGACGAATGATCTGCGATCAAGTAGTTGTTGTAGTTGTAGATGTAGTAATTTTCGTTGTAGTCGTAATAGCAGTAGTAGTATTAGTATAGACAAATAGAAATGACAACAAGAAGGAGCTCACTTTAGGAATTACACCATAATTAAAACTGTAGACGTCATTTACGGTAAAAACTTTTATTTTGCTACAATTTTGGCTAACATTTCAAGAGGGGTGGCAAACATACTTCAAACGTCTAGGGTACGGCACACTCCGATTAAACTTGATTGGGCAAATAATATGCATTACAGCTTGACTTTCAGCCCCGTGATCGTGGTACCTCATTGGTTGGTAATTATCAGCACCACGGCACCTAATGTGCCCTGCTAGACACCGGGCTTTTGGATTTCTTATGTTAAGTAATTCCCTACCTCGCGCCTCTCAGCCAATGCAAGATACGTGAATACGACTGCCGCCGCCCCCTCACGTTAGGCGGGTCGCCGTTTACTAATTGTCAGGAAAGTTTTATTTCCTCGTGTTCTAACCACTTACCATTAAACCTTCGTTATGAACAAGATGTCGACCTTAAATCGACCGTAAATTCACTCATATACGTAAATGAATTTCTATGTCCAGACATTCAATTCACATAAGTATGCCCAAGTTATGGTTATTTTATGCGCGTCCAAGTAATAAAGCCAAATGGCAAGTCCAGGTTTCAGTACCTATTGGCACTTAAATCTCCTCATTATACATATATATATATATATATATATATATATATATATGAAGAGTTGAATGCTAGAGATCAAGGTCAAACCATGATGGCACATGTCTTCATTGTCTGCCTTCTCGCTGTGGTAGAAGGCAAGGGTGAAATACTTCCTTTTATCATGCACGCCTCGTGAAACCTAACACTTACAGACTCCGTTCTGCATTTAGAAGTGTTTACATTTACACGTAGGCGCCCTGTATAATTCAGGCAGTTTTCTTCACTTAAAAGATCCTTCATGCGTTGCTGTTTCAGTCCAACTTTCATCTTAGCAAGAAATGATATGATGCCAAATATATGTTCGTTTAAAGCTTTTTAATACCGCAACCTATCTTACTGGTTCCTCTCTCTAATTTTAGGATCGAAAAACATTTGTCAATTGAAAACTGACCCGGGACAATGCATGACCCTTAAACCAGGGTTCGCCTATAATTATACACTAGGTGTTTGCGTGCAATTCATGTACGGTGGCTGCAAAGGCAATGGCAATAGTTTTGAGACCAAGGAGGAGTGCGAGAAAAAATGTTCGCGTAAGTAATGGATGATAATGATTATGTTCATCATTTACAAGTGCTCAAACTGCAATGTAGACTCTCTGCATAACAAAGGCAGGTGTCTTAACAAAAAGCATTTAACATGCGCCACTGTTCCAGTCCAAACATCATTTTATCCAAAAATAATATGATGCCAAATGTATCGTCGTCTCTTACCCTAAAATAACTAAACATATCTCACATGATCTTCTCTGTACTTTTAGAACCGATAGACATCTATCAATTGAAACACGACCCGGGACCGGGCAAGGGCTTTCTTAAGAGGTTTGCCTTTGATTCTACACAAGGCACTTATGTGAATTTCAACTACGGTGGCTGCAAAGGCAATGGCAATAACGTTGAGATCAAGAAGATGTGCGAGAAAACATGTTTGCGTAAGTAGTTGAGGACACACGTAAAGAGTAAGCATATAACATGTCAGTATTCGAAGTGTCAAGTTGGTACCCTGCATAACCGAGGCAGGTGTCTGCATTTGAAATATATTATGTGCGCCAATTT